TGCCCCCTCCCAGCCTCTGACCAGTCTGTGCCCCCACAGCCTGTAACCCCCGGTGCCCTCCTAACTCGGAATGTGTCAACGCCACCGCCTGTCGCTGCAAGCCGGGGTTTGCCTCTTCATCTACAGAGATCTTCACTGACCCCCTGGAGATCTGTGACGGTAAAGAGGATGGGGGAGGGGCAGGGCACATCAGAGACTGGGGGTGCCTAGTGCCAGTGGGGTCATGGGTAAGGGTCAAGGGCTGAGCCTTTGACCTCAAGGCCATCATCAAAGACAGAAAAGAGAAAGGAATGAGTAAGATGGCAGAGAGACCAGGGAATCACATGGCTTTCTGCACAGGGAGGACCTGGGCCCCAGGAGTTGGTCTCAGCCTGCCCTTAGGTCTGGGGAAGGTGACTCTCAGCTTATAGCCCACCCCCAACCTTGGCATTGTCCCTTGTGTCCAAACTGAGAGTGTCAGCCACAGGACTGAGATGAACAGAGCAGACTGTGTAGTCTTCAGGAAGGGCTTGCTCCAGCTAGAGCACAACCTCAGCACTGAAGCCCAAGATTCTCTCCAATAGGTACTAACTCCACGTGAGACCCCATGCTGGGGGACCAGGTAGGGAACAGGAGTCTCTTGCCTGAGAGACCACACAGCTTTGGGAGGTGACCCTTGGTCCTATTATGTTGCAGACATCAATGAATGTGTGCCACCCATGAAAGTGTCCTGTGGAAAACTTACTGACTGCCAGAATGTGGAGGGGTCTACTACTGCACGTGCAGCCCGGGCTATGAGCTCCGTTCTGGGGGAACAAACTTCACTAATGAGAGTGAGAACACATGTCAAGGTAAGGCCCCCCCTCACCCCCACACCACATGCAGTTCAGGGCACCAGAGCTGATCTGGGGAAAGCGCCCAGTTAGAGCCTCAGCACCTGGACTGTGAGATGGGGCAGCTGTGCGTGCACCTGTCACCAGCACGAGAGGTGGGGGAGTGTCAGGGCACTCTGGGACCAGCTGCTTGGCCCCATCCTGATAGCTCTTCCCATGATGATGGCCAAGGTGCCTATCAGGAAACCCTGTGGACATGAGAGATGTGATAACATCATTGTTGTTTTCTGTTAAAAAAAAAAGCCAGGCACAGTGGCCTGTGCCTGTGGTCTCAGATACTTGGGAGGCTGGGGCAGAAGGATCACTGGAGCGCAGGAGTCCAACCCAGCCTGGGAAACAGAGAGACCCCATCCCTAGGGGGAAAAAGTTGGGGAGAGAGACAAAAGAAAAAGAAAACCACAGGAAGGAGCCCCGATCTTCTAAAGCTACACACAAAGGTAGAGGCTGGGGTTCGGCTCCTGGCCAGGAACTTTCCTGGCATGAGCAGGGCCCTGGGCCCCCTCCACAGCACTGCAGAAAATGAAAACAAAACCAGAGGTAGCTTTGCTCTTGGTTCACTGTGTGACTTCACACAAGTCACCTCACTTCTCTGTGCTTCAGTATGTCCATCTGCAGAAGGGGAGTTGTGGGACTGGGGTGTAGCTCATGGGTAGAGCACTTGTCTAGCAGGTGCGAGTCCCGGGTTCAGTCCCCAGCACCAGGGGAAGAGAGGGGGAGAGAGGAGAGTCATAAGAAGGGAAATGAGATCCAAAGGCACTGAGCAGGTCATGGCTCCCAGAAAGTGCTGTTAGCAATGGCTTCTGAGCTGAACAGGACCTGGGCCCAGGAGTTGTGCTCACCTGCCCTTAGGTCTGGGGGATGAGGAGCCTCCAGCCCATGCCCACCTCAGCATTGTCCCCTGGGTCCAGATCCAGGGGTGTCAGCCAGAGGACTGGGACAGAGCTATCCTGTGGCACCCAGGGGCCAAGGCCATGGTTGACACAGGATACAGGCCACTGTCCCACCAGCACAGAGAGGGAGGGTGGTGTGAAGGCCAAGGTCAGAGGCAGGGGTCAGCTCCCTGGGTCTAAAGCCTGGACTGGCCACCCGTGAGCAGCATGGGATCAGCAAAACCACTTCCTCCCTGGAGCCCTCCTTGTGTCTGCCCCCAGGAGCCTGGAGCCCAGAGATCCATGAGGTGGGGGCTCTCAGTGGCTCATTACTGGGGAACCCAGGGAGCTGGGGGGGAGGCTGAGCCCAGGATGTGGGAAACGTGGGAGTTGGTGGAAGGTCCCCTGGGGATGCTGCTGCACCTCATTCCCAGCTGTCCCCATGCGACCCCACCCCACCTGGTCCCCTCCACCTATGGCACACCTCTGCAGCCATTGCTACCAGCTGGGAACAGGGGAGGAGACTGTGATCACCCCGTGGGGGCTGGACAGGGGCCCTTAGGGTACATCAGCCCCTGCCCTGGCCCGTCCTGCTGTTGATCCACACAGCCCGGATGAGGGGTCCCAGCAGGGCATCCTCAGGTGCAAAAATGGGTCCAGGAGACCAGAAGCCCTCCCTGCCTCATCCTGACCCCAGGAATCCTCTGGGCTCCGGGAAC